TCGAGTTAATGGTAACACTAATTACAATTGAACGGTATCTTTTCATTTAAAAAAAATTTGCAATCAATAAGTTGAGAACTATTGAGATTTGTTCGAGAGAAGTTTTGCTAATTAACGGTATAACAAACATGTTTATTTTGAAAGTGGCGTAAGTCGCTGTACCTGTCTCTTATACACATCTAGATGTGTATAAGAGACAGGCGTATAACATAATATAATATATAATATGTAATCTGTCTCTTATACACATCTAGATGTGTATAAGAGACAGGCGTATAACATAATATAATATATAATATGTAATCTGTCTCTTATACACATCTAGATGTGTATAAGAGACAGGCGTATAACATAATATAATATATAATATGTAATCTGTCTCTTATACACATCTAGATGTGTATAAGAGACAGGCGTATAACATAATATAATATATAATATGTAATCTGTCTCTTATACACATCTAGATGTGTATAAGAGACAGGCGTATAACATAATATAATATATAATATGTAATCTGTCTCTTATACACATCTAGATGTGTATAAGAGACAGGCGTATAACATAATATAATATATAATATGTAATCTGTCTCTTATACACATCTAGATGTGTATAAGAGACAGGCGTATAACATAATATAATATATAATATGTAATCTGTCTCTTATACACATCTAGATGTGTATAAGAGACAGGCGTATAACATAATATAATATATAATATGTAATCTGTCTCTTATACACATCTAGATGTGTATAAGAGACAGGCGTATAACATAATATAATATATAATATGTAATCTGTCTCTTATACACATCTAGATGTGTATAAGAGACAGGCGTATAACATAATATAATATATAATATGTAATCTGTCTCTTATACACATCTAGATGTGTATAAGAGACAGGCGTATAACATAATATAATATATAATATGTAATCTGTCTCTTATACACATCTAGATGTGTATAAGAGACAGGCGTATAACATAATATAATATATAATATGTAATCTGTCTCTTATACACATCTAGATGTGTATAAGAGACAGGCGTATAACATAATATAATATATAATATGTAATCTGTCTCTTATACACATCTAGATGTGTATAAGAGACAGGCGTATAACATAATATAATATATAATATGTAATCTGTCTCTTATACACATCTTGTACTAATTATTATTGTATTTTATGAATATTAAAATAAAAAATACTTAATTCAAACCTTTATATCAAATATGTTCATGGTATAAATTATTATTACATATGTAACTTATTCAACAATTTTAGTAAATCACTGTCCTTTCAAAACACCACTTCAGTAAAATACGTCGGACAAAATTAATATATGTCAGTCATTTTTCTAATCTATTTATTTTGAAAGTGGCTTAAGTCACTTTACCGTAATGAAAAGTGGTGATTTTTTAATGTTTATACGAAATTATTTATACTGAGAAAAATATCAGTATCCTGAGATAATAAATACAAGTAAATCTTCTCGAAAGTTAGCATCCATATTTTTAAACGTGTTAAAACGCAAACCCTTAAATATCTCGACTTAAAAACAAAGTGACTTATGCCGCTTTCAAAATAAACGGCTCAACTGTCACCGGCACTAGAAGTTTCCATAGCTTCACACCAATATCACACAAAATGATTTTATGCAAATCTTGTTCCTTTGATAAAGATGGCACTTTGTTCAACGTAATGTAATAGTTTCGGTCGCTTCTTTACTCGTAACTCTTAGCCTCGTCGTTTAAACTGATTCTACCCTTGTCACCCTTCTAGTTCCATCCTTACCCCTACTCCCTGACGGAAGAAAATCTCACCTCTCCGCGGTTTCCATTGAACAATGACACTTTTTTTACAGACACTAAATGAAAGAACACGTTAACACGTTGAACGCCACGTCACCCATATCTAGGTGACGGCTATGTTTTCGCAGTCTTCGTCCAATTAAAGCAGGATTTTGGAGGTAATTTATAGTAATTTTATTTGTAACACAACTATGATGAGTATAGACAATATAGGGTAACAATAAAGTATAAAGTAAACAAAAACAAACATTAAAAATATACTTATACTAATAATAAAATAAAATAATAAAATATAAAATATACTAACAAATTATACTTATATTTATATTTGTTTTTAAAATATTATAACATTTTATTACTTACGATGGAATTCGTTAAAACATATAATTGGGGTGACTCTGGAAACTCAGGATAATACGTTATAGTCTTTTGTAAATTTTCTTTTGCTTCGTGGCGCCGGGAGAAACTATACCGATTCACGCTGGACGTTCAACGTGTTAATACTGATAGCTGTGATCATTGTAAAAAAAACGTGCCATTGACCAAGAACGGTTTAGCAAAATTCCGGCGTGAACACTATCCTCATGGCTGTGAAACTTGCCAATTGTGTTTTTAGTTTTTATTGGAATAATATGGGTTGCAGTGGTTCGGTTTGATGACTGTTACATAGCGGAAGGCGCGGTTCGTTTACCTACGATAGGGCGCACCGCTAAATTCAACGCTTCACTGTGACTTTGATATGCATCGCACCACACCACAGAAAACATAGGTTTATAGGGAAAAGTCCAAGTCGAATTCTTAAAAACGCGACCATAAGTCCTTATTTTAAAAAGAAGAATTTGTTTATAATTTTCAATATTGTAAAAACAATTTTTCGATCAGATAAAAATTGATTTAGAAAGGTGAATTCTTTTCAAGTAAAACTACAGAAAATTTATTTCGATGCGATTAATAGTTTCTGAGATCAAAATTTCTGAGTACTACTAATTTTCGCAAAAATGCGCAAAAATGTGCCCTGTATTTTTTAAACAAACTTGAAATTAGCAAAATGATGACTTGACTCCCCGCTCCTCCCACATCACATGGACTACATCATATTTTAATTTGATCAAAATCCAGATATCGAGGGAGAAAAGTGATCGATATGGCGTGGAATAACCATTAGTCTTTTTATTTGGTCACCTATTTATTTAGTTCAGTGATAAAAAAATGGACTAATTGAGTCGCGATTCAAATACTATGAGTCAAAATATATTTGATTGTCGCTGTTGTAGAATAAAAAAAATGGTTCCGAAAGTAATCGTCTCAAATTGTTATACATACAGGGAATATTCGATAACGTGTCAATATCATTAGGCTAGCATCAACAAGGATTCTTTGTTGAATACAAATTTAATACAAATCTTCTTTGTCACAGTTAGTTTGCCATGTGTCTTCCCTCTGACGCAATGCAAAGTTGCTTTTGATATCTCAAAAAGATTCAACGCGTTTAGTTTTATTTTACAAAAGTTATTCTGTTTCAAACAGTGTCCTTATGCATTTGTCAATGATTATATCTTCGACTTACGTAAAATGGTTTCTAGTCTAAATGCACTATCAGCAACGTACACTACGAATTTTGATATATATATGTATACATATATAGATCAATAAGCAATCACTTATGATTCAAAGTCATAGACCAAGCTCTGCAACCTCTATAATAATGTCCCTTTGTTTTCTCATTTCCCAAAAAAGTGACGGTCATTTGAAAAAATGAGGATAAATAGCAATGCTGTTTCTGAATTTCTACAGTGGCCGATATAGTGATAGGTTCATCTCATTTTTGTGATATAGCATTAACATCTCTGTTACTTTTTTTATTATTATTAGAACGATTCGTAACGATGTATTTAGTCAAACACATAGTTATTTAAATCATTTAATTTGTATTAATATGATTATAACATCGATATTACAAAAATTTGGAGATTATGAGCAAAATGGTTCACTTAATATTGCTGTATACTTATTTTAGGAAATTGTCATAAATGCAATTAGAAATTAATTAATTACAAAGAAAACTTAATATTTAGTTGGTCCTCCATTGTTTTCAATGACTCCAAATATCCTTCGCAACATCGAGTTCGTTAATTTCTGCAGCGTTTCTGAACCGATCTAACAAGGAGAGGTTCCCAGGGGTGACGCTCACTTATTGATGAGATTTGGTACAGCGATAGACCTTGTAAAGCTGAATCCAATGATACCCAATTTTAGGGGTAGATGGCTTATAGTTTTTGAGACATTTAATGTTAAAGTCTTTAATAAAAGGCCAGAAAGACGCACTGGATTACAGCGCGAAGCACTGTGCGGTAGGGGATGGGGACAAGCCGCCGTGCTACATTCAGGTAGGCCGGATTCTCCATTCCCTAAGATTTCTGTCCTGGTACCGGTACCAACACAGTACCACAAATATTACGGAGTGGGGAACGATGGGAGACCCGATCTGGTCTGTCAGAACGCGACGCGCGACGCACCCCCCACCTCCTGCTGCACGGTGCCTCACGCCCCCACCTCCTGTCGCACGGTGCTTCACCCCCCACCCCCACCTCCTGCCACATGGTGCCGCGCGCCGTAATCCAGCGCGTCTTTCGGTCTTTTATTAACAACCTTAACAACAAATATCTCAAAAACCATAAGCCGCCTGGCCCTGAAACCGGGTATCATTGGATTCAGCGTTACAAGCTCTATCACTGTACCAAATCTCATGAAAAAGTGAGCTTTACTCCTGGGGAGCTCTCCTCAGGTAGTAACACTACCTGATGCAATCTTGTAATTCATCAGCGACCGCGTATTGTTTATCATAGCTGTAAACTTGTTATGCTGAAATGCCTCCTTGGGATTCAATGGCTATCATTATTTCGGCCACTATTTTGGGCGAGGCGCGCTGCAAGCAGTAGCTCGTGAAAGGAACGTCAGAAAAAAAGGTAGAATTTGTTGGATAGTGTAACGAATTCGTTTCAGCTAAGTGCACCCCATCCGTTCACGGGAACGTGCGTAGTCTACTCATAAACGGTTCCCTTCTCTAAATACGTTCATTCTTCATTTTACAAGCTCCATCGGACTGTCAAATTTAGCAGAAGATCACGTTTAAACATTTCACGCCCGACATCCTGCTTCTGCCTTGAAAATAACAGGTCGGGAAGACGAGGACAGCTACGTGGAGCCGTACACGAGCAGCGACTGGATTTACATCGGCGACCTCGAGGAGAGCCACGTGTGGAGAAGGCCGGACGGCAAGGACGACGAGGACGCGGTCCCGGAAAGTATCGTTAAAGAACGGAGGAGCTCTCAGGAGTCGACGGAGAGCGAGAGGAACTTTTGGAAGTATTACCAGGTAGCGACGCTCAAGATGATCCATGGGAAGATCAGCGGGGAGATGTACAAAAGGATACAGACGAAGAGTTTCGGTGAGTCAATAATCAACGTTTGTCGCCTCTGCTTTTATTTTTTCTATTTGCTTAACGCGTTACCTACCGGAAGTCCATTAATGGCATTCGTAATGACCCTAATGAATATTCAGTGCGCGGGTATTAACCCTCGTATGCTCCTCGGGTGAAAATTCACCCAGTTCCAGTTCTGTCAGGGTGTAAACGTACAGGGTGGGTCTAAAGTGACTCGTAAATTGTCGAGCGAATGCGAAAACGTTTCGAACAAAAAGTGCATGGTATCGTTACTATGGAATTATTATACGTATTATTATTCGCTTTAGCCATTCTTCTCCTTTCTTTTCGAGATAGAAAGGGTGGCTTTCTAAATTGGACACACGATATTTTTCAGCATTAACTCCTTGGAAGGCGACTTCTTTCGCAGCAACGTTGAATAATACTTCGTCGTCATTAACGCTAGGATTTTTTCATTTACGATTATTCAGATTATGAGATACTTATTCGATGTGTTTGATAATTGGAGTTATTAACGTACTACGTTACAAATCGGAATAAATATACTATTGTTACCCTTATAAAGTAATATGAAACGAGTGTTAATAATTTCTCTAACGGAACGAGGCAACTTCTGTTTCTTGTATGTTTTTATTTACTTTTATTATGAAAATTTTATAAAACTGATATGGAAATGATTTGTATACAATCGTATAGAGAATATGATTTATATGTAGTAATCCAAATAATATAAAATTCATATATAATCCATGAGATGATTAAAATATAAGATTTCGTGAAATTGTTCATTTTGTCCACAATTATATAGAAAATAAAATTTATATAGAATTGTATAAAAATATTAATTTCATATACATATAAATTTATAATGGAATTAATTTCATGTAAAATTTTATAAAAATGCTTATTTTGTATATAATTATATAGAAAATAAAGTGTGTGTATACAATTATATAAAAGATATTAAATTCATATAGAAAACAATGGAATTAAATTTGTATAAATTTGCATAAAATTATAATTTGTATAATTATATATTTTTAATACGTTTCATTACAATATTTAACATCCTTACTACCATTGTCAAAAAAGTTACGTACAGTCATGCATGGGTCATTTTAGACCCAGATTGTTCTACGTATAATATCTATGGAAAAATGCGCATCTACTTTTTAATTTCTGAGGATTTAACTGAAGAACGTCTTATAATTAGAGTGTAGGCTTTTATGCGAAATAAAAATTATCTTCATCCATTTTAACGAACACGAGTCAAGTAGATACTTTTTTCTTGCCCTAGTAATTTCAGCGAGTTGAAAGTAGTACATAAACGTCATAAAATTCTTTTAATACCTCCATTGTTTTTTTAACCTATCCATTTGTGGCATAAATGCATAAATCTGCAGTCTATTTATAATACACAGTAAGTTAATGCGGAGTACACTCGCGAAATTTCTATGTTTGATGTTTACGAGTTTCTTGGAATATAATTTATACACGAACTGTTGACACTTTTTTGTCAAGTTTTTGCAAATTTTCGCAAGTGTGACATCTGCAAATGCAGTGAGATGTGAGGTGAGTTCCAGGATAAGAGAAAATGCATACGTTACCATATATGATGCATGCATAATGTGGGCATAATTCAATGTTATCAGTACAACCGTGACTAATCAATGTTTGAGTATGTTTATGATATGCGACCGATTCTACCCTCATTACTAAGCCTAGAATAAGGTGACGCCTAAAGTTTTCGTCAAATTAAGTAGCCTCTTTTACCTACATCTCACTGCTTGAAACATTTCAATTATGTGTTTACGTCTTCTGTATAAGTACTCATTCTTCCATAATAAAAATATATGAATAACACAAAATATTTAACAAAATATACAAAACAATTTTTGAGCGAGATATTGTATCCTTGAAAGGATGAAAAGTTAATTTCTGTGTGTCAATTACAGGGCTTTTCCTAAATATTACGTGTTCATGTACACTGATGTAGTTAATCTGTGTCAATTTTTATACAGTGATCTAATTACTATACTTCGTTTACTATGATCAGTTCTAGGTAAATAAACTTATAACAGAAATGTGAAAACATGAAATATTCCGTACTAAATTATTTAGCATAATTTATTATACACATATGTTTCAATACTTATGATATTATTCAGAAAGGAAAGGAATAATAATTAAACAAAAAAATATCTAAGAAGTTAATTATATTATTGTTTCTCTGTAATTTATACGAGAATTTCTCGTATGAAAGCATCATTTTGCATTTTCTTTATCTTTATTTGCAACATGTTGTTTAAATGTTTATGACAAGATCGAAGCAAAAAAACATTTAATTAAATAGTGTTGTTTTTATAAATAAGTAAAATTATTGCAAGGGCACATTAACAGGGTGTGACACGGTAATTGACACACTTACCTTATATTCTGTATGCTCAAACGTTAAGCGTTCGAGAAAAACCGTATAAATTTTCAGATTGCGAATCGAAATGGCTAAAAATAATGTTAATGTTCATTGATAATTACTAGACGGTGAATCTTTATGCATTTATGGCCGAAGAAGTTGGATAAAATGCGGAACCTCGAAAACATCAGAAGAATTTAAAAATATTGTTACATTATAGTTAATATATTAAAACTATTGGGAAAAGGAACATATTTTTATTCTACTGTTTGTAACAATTAATGCAGAAAATTTTTATTTTGCATAAAGATTCGCAGTCCAATAATTAAAATCAGTGTAAAAACTATTCGTGTATCGTATTTCCGATTTTTGACAAGTTGTCAGTATTGGAATTGTTATAATTTTGTTAAAACATGTTGTACAACAACGTGCAGGGATACATTTGAAAACTTAAAGCTTCTACTTATGCTGTGCATTATTCATTTTTCTGTATCATGTTGTTACATAATATAACAGGTGGGAAACTAATGATATGGAAATCATGTTTCCTGGAAACATTTTCCGGAAAATATTGCGAATTGGAATGTCTATAAATACTGTGGAAAATTTTGTTCATGACTGATCCTAATGTAGATTTCAAAATTGAATTTTCCCCATTACAATGATCCCTTAAATTCTAACGTACGGTCTTTTTTAGTCACTATATTGAGCTTCGAATGAAAGGTGTACTCTACTTTATAGTAACACTTTCACGAGGGCTCTACGCGACCGAATTGGTTCCTCGTTTCTGTTTCATAAAACGACTAGAAGAAGTCGTACATCAAGTTAGGTAATTGTAAAGGAGAAGCTTAAATCTCCGCATCCTTAGTCGATTTAATCGTGATCAAAATTTGTCAATGTTTTTAAAGACGTTTTAATAAGAGTTGATGAAAATTTTATTCGGATGACCGATAAAAGATAAAGACTAATGGATAAAATTTTACTCGTCACTAAATGGGACTAAATAAAAATTTATTCTACTCTAGCGAATAAATATTTAATCGCATAAAAATTCTAGATAAAAATTTATCTGAATAAGAATTCATTCGGATAAGATTTTATTCGAATAAGAATTTAATCATACAGGAATTCATACTGATTGTATACATATATGACATAATATAAAGTGTTTTTCATAGTTTATTGATCTATTGCTTCCATATTACGTT